ATGGGAACGTCATCCAATGCTGTTTGCATCAATGCCCGTTGGTCCGAGGTCGTCAAATTTATTATTTATATGTATTATGTTCCTTTCGTTTACACTAATCAGGTTTTCAAACAAATGCATCCGTTGACGATCTCGGCGCCCGCCCCAACAGCTCCCACTGGGGGCGCTGAATGAGAAAGATGGTCCCGGTTTCAAATTCAGGTGAAATCCATTTGCAGGAGCAATGAGATCTATTGGTGTTTCCAGTACATAGAATTCCCAGTTTAAGTCCAAATATTTGATTTTGTTGTCTTGTACATAATAATAAATTTAAATAATTTAAAAAATATTACTTAAAAATTGTAAGTTTAAATAGGTAAGTAAAAGGTAGGTAAATACGAAAGTTTTTCACATATGGCGTGCCCTCAAAAAGGCGTTAAAAAAACCAAAACAAACATCTGCAACAAGCACATAGAAAAATTCGTAAGGTCCGTTGGCTTAGTTGGCATAGCATCTGCCACGGTTTGCTAGAGAACGTGTTACGTTGCTTCGGATCCAGCCGGATCGAAGGAATTTTTCTTTCTTTGTATTATTAATAAATTATAACAAACTAGAGGAGAATTTCACAAAAAACATAATTTATTGAGTGTCATGGTGTGAAACATCTTGATATTCAAATCAATAAAAAAAAATTAGGTATACGGAAGCCAATAAAAACTCTACAAGGAACAATTTGTAATATAATATTTTCTTTGACTAAGACTATTACTACAACTAATTAATATTTTACAAGACTTTCAAAATCTGCACAGATCTTTAAAAAATCTTTAAAAATGTCTATCAAATTTCAAATATTTGGAACCATTAAAATGGTAAATGACTGTTACATGAACATCTCTCTATAGAAATATCCAGCGTTCTCTTCGTGACTGAATCCGGCTAATGTGTGTAGCCCGCAAAGGTATCGGCCGCAATGAAGATAGCAATGGCAGTATTAATTCATTGCCACGGAACTGAACATGCCCGTCGGTCATTATCTTCGCTTCTTGCGTGCCCTTCGAGGAATCCTAACTTCTTGTACCTGCTTTGTGCACACGAGGTTACGCTATTAATAATATAACACACTAATATATATTTTAATTAATATTTCTAACATTTTGTTCTATGAGTCAATTTACCAAATGGACCAGTTTTTACGACCTATGGTGTCTCGATAATGTTATGTAAGTATAAAGTCGCTATGAGAGTAATTATTTCGTAAATATAACTTCCTTTATTTGATATGTAGAATACACATAAAAAAATTGAAAAAAAAATGGAATCATCGGTTAAAAAAAGGATTTGGTTATGGAATGAGCGAACAGTGGCACGTTATGGTCGTACTATTCATTTTTCTTAGCTTGCAGAGAAATTTGTAATAATCTATCTGTATCAAGTCAGCATCTAAATTAATAGATTTTTCTCCGAGACCCTTGACTGCCTCTCGAATTCCTTTTACAATATGAAACATAAAACTTGCAGATCTATGTGCAACACCGAATCTGGACATGTAGTTGGGGCTGATGGATCACTGTAACACAATAATAAACTTTAATTGTGCCCAGTTCAAAGATCACCGACCATATATCTATCTAATAATACTCAGATGGTTTTAAATAAATTCTGGAAATCTATAACCGGAACCTTAATTAGCCTTTTCTGAAACAACAACTTGGAAACATAATTTTCCCGGTATGTTTTCAAGTTCCGCTGTATCGCTACCCGACTGTGACATATGAGAGAATGTTACGCGTTAACTATTGGCGATTTAACCGTATTCCATAGGGACATGCTTAGTAGATACCGTAAGGCTGGTGTCCACAACATGGTAGCGTTTTCTAATAACTTCCCGACTTCAACTATTATTTAAATATTATGCAGGCTTTTTTAACCAAAATGTCGACTCAAATTGGTATAAAAGCGCTTATATATTTGCAGTTTCATAATTTGAAATGCAAACTTAATCATCGTTACTGATGGAATCACAGACACTACAAATAATAATAGATGAATTGAAATATTGATCTATTTCAGGAGAACCTTTAGGAATAAAATCAGTTTTCGACTATTCTAAAAACGCCAGGGTCAAGAGTCAAAATGTGCCAGGCTTTCAAACAGTCTTACAATGTCTCAACATCGGTTCATAAAACGATCACATCGCAAAAGACAGTGCAGTAACGTCTTTATCGAACCGTTTGGAAAATTAATATTTTGCATTAGATACATAATCTCCGTGTCCCGTAAATACGCGAGTCGTGAGCCCTCGGTGTGCGGCAAAGTGCGCATCGGGAACTCTTGCATTGATAACTGGATGGACTAAGTAGGGTGCTTGGAATCGTGTGAAATGCATACAATTACTTAGTAGATTTCATAGTAGAGTCCATTATCCCACCAAAGTCTAAAACAGAAGATTCTGTGTTTAATCCACTTTCATCAATATCATAGAGAAGAATAGCTGTTGCCATGTGTTTAAAGCAACGATCATGCTAGCGTTTGATATTAGACACCAAATAACGCTAGACTATAAATAAAGGAAAAGGCGTGAGTCATGTCATAAAAGGAGGTCAAGGAACTGGCTTATAGGAGAGATGACTGGAAGATGTTCCACCAACAAGAGAATAACTCTGTTACACACGGCGATGGTTACAAACACGCGTTTGTGAAACGCACATTGCATCGCTACACTTGCGATTTAAAGGCGATTGCATCGATGCAAACGTGCGGCTGAATCGATGTCATCGCGCGTTTGTACCTCTGCAGTCGCACGTTTGGATCGCGTTTGCATCGCCGCTTAAAATCACGCGTGTATATACACGTAGAAGATGAAGATTAGCGTATCTCTTAGGGTCGTGGTAAACCGCGACATTTATACTGAGATCCAAAATTATTTACTTTAATTAATTCTACGTAAAGCTGTAAGTTCCTTTTGTTATTTGTTAATTTTAAGTGATTTTATATAATAATTATAGTTTTCATTTTAATTGGTTTCAGTAAACAAATTTTCATGTAAGTGAATAAAGTTTTGTCTAGAGATAGATATGTGGCGGTGCGCTGGCGAAGGATGCTTTTTACCAATCGTAACACTTTTTTATTTTGCGGTTAACGGGTGTTTAAATGAGCGTTTACTTAAGACTAAAAAGACCAAGAAGCACATGAGTTTAATACATAACAGGAGGTAAAAATTACCCAGTCTCGATTTATAGAACGTGATTTATTGCGTGTTATAGAACCGACAGTATTGCTGTTTAAATATATATTATTATGCGATATTAGGGGTCCCAACGTTTTTTATGTTGGCTTTGATTTTAATTAGGAAGACGCATTACTATTCCGTATTTTTTGGCCCTACTACCAGTAAGAAAGCGATATAATTAATCCTGGGAAGTACTGCCTATTTCTGCCGCCAAGAGGTAATGTGAGTTTTACTGCTTTCCGGTTTTGAAGGGTTATGGTGAAATTACAGGCAACTTATGTCTCAAGGTGACGTGCGCAGTGGCAGCGCGCCTCAGACCTTTGTGATTTAAATTTCTGAGTGCAACTGCTATAGACAAGCGCGTCGCTTATCATGAGACGCACGACTTGTTCGTCATATCACGTAGTATCATAAAAAAACCCAAATAAATCTTATAAATCCACAAAAACAATTACCTATCAAACGTCTATCACAGTACACTTCAGACGTAGGTCATGAACATGAATCGTAATTTTAAGGAAACCCTCTACTATTTACTGACCTCCAGACTGAATAAGGTAAAAACAGTAATGACGTAATGACACTACCTATGTCCATTTATACGATTTAAACATTGGAATATGAATTCTTTTCCCCAGCATTAAACTACAAACTTTGACGGCCTTCACCACGAGTTCCCTTTACTACGACCAATATAAATTGAACTCCGACAATTATTGACTTAAAAAATATTCTTTTTATTGTTATTTTAATTCATTATAAGAATAAAATAAGAAGTAAGGAAACCAGTCCCAAGCCATGAAATTTCAACACTTATTCGCATCGTTTTCCATTAAAATAGTATCTCTAGGTCTTAATGCAATAAGTATAACAAGTATTCTGAATCGTCACATTCATCACGTGATATGTCTGTGTCATGATCATGTGTAAAACTGTTTAAATAGAATTTGTTCCATACTACGTAAAATCCACGTTTCTATGACGTCATTCGATTCAAGTTTGTTCCAACTAATTGTATTCAGTCTCGTGGGTTACGCTATTTTCAACTTTATGTTTAAAGCCATTGAAGTATGGAAGTAGGACATTGTGATGTAGAAGAATTTCAATGTCAACTACCATTCGAAGTCAGATAACAAGTCTATTCAACTTGTAGCCACAGTTTTATTATAGCTGTTGCGTCGTAGTGACGAAGTGGTGCAACTAGTTTTAATTTCAATGTAATAAATCTGTGATATTCAGTGATTTAGGTAAATTGTACGTGATAGTGTTTTGTTTATTAATTTATTACTAAAGAGGCAAGTATTTTTAACACTTTCTTCTTAGTAAACATTAATCACACATGAGTAAAGTTTATTTCCATTTAGCTCATGACAGCTTATACCAATATAATGTGTCGTATCACGATACTTTTTATTTGCACTTGTATTGACGTCCTTCGTATTATAGATATAAAATACTTCATAACATTAATGAAATTGATAACGTTATTGAGTAAATATGTTTATTGAGTTATCACTCAGTTTTCGAAAATCCTGAGAAATGTCCTACGAACAATGTTCATTGACAGCAAAATAATTTTTTAGTATTGTTGTAGTATTGTTAACTCTCCCACCAAATGTTGTAAATATAAACCCTGCGTGAAAATCGAGCGGTTCACATTTCAATGGTTAGTGACGTCACTTTTTTAAAGTGCAAATTGTACATTATGTGAATGATGTAAGGTACAATGTCAACAAATTTGACTTACTTAGTTTGTGACCTACTAAATGCTATTCAATACTTACCAAAAACTTCCCTATTGGAAAACTTCATTATTTATATGTATTTAGGTATATGATTGTCACCAATCGCATAACCTCAAATTGATTACAACACAACAGTTAGGAAACCGTTACGCTGTGCTCCTTCGCTACAGGCACAAATATTTTTATTGCTCGCTTTTTACGGGTAAGACCTTGACACCAGCTTTTATTCTCCAACAGGCAAAAAACCAAAACATGGAGTTCATAACCGGAGGACTAGCAGGCGTTGGAGCCACTATAATAACAAACCCCATTGACATCGTAAAAACGAGGCTGCAACTACAAGGAGAGCTTCGAGCTAAGAGTGAGCATACGGCAAGATATAGAGGGATCTTGCATGCTTTGTATGTTATAGCCAGGACTGATGGAGCGTTTGCATTGCAGAAAGGTCTTTGTCCAGCTATAGTACAAGGATTTACTATTAATTCCGTCAGGTTTGTAAGTCGTTGACATATAAAACTTCACCACAAATCACATACGTGCAACGGGAGTCCAAGAAGCCTTTCTTGGAAACAAAACTTGGGAGAGTCCATTAAGATCCTGCTCGTCTTGCGCAAATGTATTTCTTGAAAATACGTGGCCATTTAAGAAAATAAGTTGTGCTAAATGAAACCTGGAATTGTCCATTTTAATTTTATTTCTTGAGTATATACTACGTGTTTATTAGAAGTACGTGGTTTTCATTTCGCTCACAAGCAAAGATACAAAACTCGCAAAACTGACAACTATAGAAAAAGATAATCTAGAGAGTCAAATGTTATCAAGCTTGGCTTGTTACTGCTATTATAGGACCACTATTTATTGCATTGTAATAGAGACGCTTCGTTTAGAAAGGCGGTCATTTCGTATGATGATACATTCAAGTAGATTTTTCAAGATCCAATACCAATCTTTTGTTACATGCGCAGCCAGTTAAAATTGTTTTTGCTTATTAATATCGTGGATATTATAAGATCTACAGACAGATGAAAGTGCAACAACTTTGAAAACATATTTATAAGCGGAGAAACAACATTGATCATGGCATCAGTATCGATGCAACAATGCAACAGCTCTCATTACCTTAGTGTAGAATCAATCATGGAAATTACACTCGCTACTATAACTACACGTATTACCTACTACATGAGTGATAATTTGTCGTTTTCGAATACAAACAGTTGTTAAATAATCGTGTTCTTCCTGATCTATTTCAAATATTGTACATGATCGCTAGCGACTTGAAGACAAATTCATGATTGTGGTATTGGTCACCCTATAGACCTTACGTTACCCACTTTTAAATAGCATTCTTTTTATCACCAACAGGTTAGGCATATACCACATAGCAGAGGTCCAAGGTTGGATTCATAATGAAAAAGGTGAAATCAGTATTGGCAAGGCAGCGTTTTGGGCCAGCGTCAGTGGTTACACGGGTGCCGTAGTTGGTACTCCAGTCAGCGTGATCAAGACACGTATGCAAGCAGCAGCTCATCCTAGTATTGCTGTTGGAAGGCAACATAAATACAATGGTAATTCGACATCACTTCTTCGTAGGTCTCTCCACTTAAGACCCATAAGAAAAAGTTATTCATATTTAGCCACTTTGCACAATCCTGTCAAACCTCTCTTGCTTCACTTATATTACCAATTAATAAGAACTTTTACTCCAATGTATTTTTTAAGAACATTCCCAGTTTATGAAAGCGATTTTCATTACCATATTGCCTTCCATGTTGGGTCTATATATCTATTTCGTCACTCTACTTTCATTCATCGAATCCATCTGCCCAAACCAAACTGTAGAATCAGGCCATAAAACCTTTGAGGGACAGCCCTTATTAACTGCAACTGGTTTGTGGGCAAATACACGGAACAACACAACTTTTAATATGTTCCCATATTTCACCTCGTAAGAGAAATATCCATAGAAAATATTCTCCACTCCTATTGGATCAAAATATGTTTAAATTAGACTTATTAATTGCTACCTTGTAATATCGTTAGTCCATCTTGCAGTATCTCGCCTGCCCACATTTTTATGCTAAAATTTGTATCTCCATCAAGTCGACTATTTGTCTGTGAATCTGTCAACGACGCACACTTTACATCATTCCTCGATTGAAATTTACTAAGCGTTGATTTCTTGTAGTAAAGAGCATACTAGATTTCAATTTTGGATTTGGAATATAGTTTGTCGTAATATGCTGAGGTTGCTATTGATTGAAATAACAAATTTTTTCGTAAATTTCGGTAAAACACTGCTTTCATTCGGGTCTATATTTGCTACATTAAACCTTAAAATAAATGTGTCAGTCTGCAAGCAAAAGGTGTTTATGGTCAGTTTTTTGTCATATTGACTTACGCGCACAGCTATTCGGTATATACTTTTTCCGTCTAATAGACAATGGACACGTTAGAAAATGACTCTTAACGCAATTAATTGATCTGTTACATTTTGATTATTCGTAATAATCTTAAAGTGGTGTCACGTTTCATATGCGCAGTAAATGCGCATCAGACATGCCATGTCACGTGAAAAATGACGTTACAATATAAATGTTTCAGGCATGTTGCACGGTTTCAAAACAATCTACAAGACTGAGGGCATTAAAGGCTACTTTGCGGGCATGAATGCAATAAGCACGAGAATTGCCATTGGCAGCGGAGCGCAGCTTACCACCTTCTCTGCGTAAGTTCATTCATTATAGTACTTAATGATTAAATCCAAAACAATAAAACGATAATTTACTTTTTATTAGAGATGTATAAGTGCCAATATAAGAAGAAGTGTTTATAATTTCACGAACACGTATTATTAAATATATCAATTCACGACGAAATAAAATATGACGAATTATTTATATCTTGCACTAAACAAGCGTATCACGGAATATTAAGGACATTTCGCAACCATTACTGTTGTATAATGTACTCCTTGACTTTAGAACATATATAGACGGCGCTTACCACTTCCTATGGGTGTAAATCTAAGTCTAAGTAAGACTGCCAGTTTGAATATTATATAAGAAAATAAAAAATATTTTTATTTTTTCAGAGCAAAAGAGTGGCTAGTGACACATGGAGGCTTTGAAAATCAACCACCAATAATAGTGGCGTTTGTCGCAAGTCTCATATCCGGTGCGATTGTTGTTTCTATAGAAACTCCACTCGATCTGGCTAACACAAGACTTTTTAATCAAGGTAAATTTCGTCAGCAATTACGTGTATCTTTAAAAGCAGTCATTAACTATTATCTTCGACCAAAGCCTGCAGTGTTATCAGCTTGACCTCTGGTAACGTATTTTTATCATATATATATTTATTATATGTATTGTTATCATATATATATTTATACATATGTTATATTATTATATATATATTTAGTATCACAAATCTCAGATAAGTAAATAACTTCTAAGTATTTACTTGTAACCGAGTGTGTAAATAGGTCGGTTAGCACATAAAATGAAAAAACAAATATTCGGTGTTCCTTTAAATTAAGATACTCATATTATGTTACCTACAACGAAGTAATTTGACCTATCGATCGGCATCATCAAAATACCAGGTGATTTTTTTTGCATTTGGTCGGTTATATTCCCAAACGAGTCTAGAAACTTTCTAAAGGTCATTGAATGCAGTATTATTACTTACTTTTAAAAGTAAAATAATGTCTTCCTGATGCAAAGTATGATATCTACAACTTTGAAAATACTTTTCCTCCGTGTCCCTAAGCCTGAAACGCCCGGTATTGTTATTAAACATAAGAGTACACTCTCATGTTTAATAACAATACATCTCTGCCAAGAAAGATCTCGTTTGGCGGGCCTTTAATTTGTAACCAAAAGTAACTTTTTGTATTGGCTATAGAGCCATTAGCTCGAAATAATAACAAGTAATTAAGAAACTCAAAAGGTAATATAGTTAAACTTAGATATAATCGTTTAAAAATTGCCATTTTTTGTCTTGTGCATGACTGGAAAAAAATATACACTTCATTTCCGTTTATTACATTACATTCATACATACAAACTACTCAAATTATCTTTTCTTTTCTATAATTTTGGAAATCTATAATGGCAGAGATCAATTCAACTCTCTTTATCATAATTTGATTTTGTATTATTAACACGGTAATGACAACCACTTTTTTATCAATTTCAGGATCCGCAGCAACTCAAGGCGCCTTACTTTACACAGGCATCTTTGACTGTTTGCGAAAAACATACAAGATAGAAGGACTACGCGGTCTTTACAAGGGGGTCTGGCCACTCTACATAAGAATGGCGCCATTCACCACCGTATCTCTACTTCTATGGGATATATTAAATAATATGCTGGTAGAAAAATGAACTAATTAAATGATTAGAAAAATTACAATTTTGGCTTTTTCAGTACGTGTACAAGACCAACATCACTTGTTAACACATAAGAATAAAATCATTGACGAAAAGGTTAAAAAAAATTAATACTTCAAAAGGCTTATGTTCAAAAAATGTGAGTAAATAAATAAGTGACACGGCGTGTAATCAGGTTTTAAGGTATTTGTACGATAGTACATGAGTACGTAGTTTATGTACAATTAGCCACAAGAATCTCTTCGATCACTCCCAGCTAGAACGCCCGAACGCGCAAAAAAAAAACAGGATATTTTAAAAACAGGATAGAGGCTAAAAGTATATCACTTATTTGTGTTCTATTTTTCACAATATGGCATCATTTCAAAACAGGTTGGAAGAAAATAATAACAATATTTTTTGGCGTATACCAATAAGGAATCGGATCGAAAATGTAGTTAAAAAGAACGTTTGTATGATGAAAAAAATATTACAATCAGTATTAACTAAGAAATAACAATTACTTGTATTTTAAATCAGTATAAAATGAAATCTAAATATTGTTATATTTGTCATTCGTTATGCAAGCACCCATCACATCAAGAGACGTCAAACGAAGGTACGCTAAGAAACGTTCGCGTATCTACGTAATCTTGTGTTTTTTCTCCGTTTCATAACTTTTTAACGAAAAATTGTAAGCATTTTCGGTTGAGAACAGTACGATATCAATACTAAAATTATCGCATAAGTGCACATTGACCACTTTGTTTATATATCTACCAGTAACGTCACTCATTCTGAGATGACATGCAGCCGGCAGTGCAGGCAGACGATTTGTTCATCCCGCGACACTTGGTACTCGTGTCATTAAAAACATACAATTTCTTTTCTATTGATTTTTTTTTCTAAAAAGAAAGCTCATAACGCTGTGCGGTAACTGTAGCCAACTACGTATGCCTACGTATAAACCCGTTAAAGAGATTGCAGTAGGCAGATTAAATTTAAGAACCATTGTGAATTAATTTGTTTTGGACGAAAAAAAACCTTTACTGAAATTTCAGGTTAGAAGCGATTTAGTGATTTTTTTCATTTACTATATATACTCATAACTCATTTATTTAAATTACATTAAATATAGTTTTAGGGACTTGAAGCTCTATTTAAATAAAATAATAATATTTTGTCGTGACTTTTGTTTTGTGTCGTGCATGTACTTATCATGGTACTTATAAATGACGAATACTTTCTGAAAAGTTGCCGCTTCTCTATTACGTGTTCTCAAACTAGAAAAGTAGTATGAGTGTATGGGCAACGGGATTCACTCCACAGTCTCCAGAACACTCAAACTTGAACCAATTTAGAACAGTTCAATCGCCCACAGTGCAAATTGTTGAGCTACCGACGTCGTCAAAATTGTTATTAATTTAAAAATAAAAAAATTGTTAATGCAAAGATAGAACATATCGAAAAAATTTTTTCGATCCGTGCATACTAAGCATACTTGGCATAGCGTCTGACACGGTTTGTTAGAAAACGTCGGTTCGAATCCGGCCGGATCGAAGGAATTTTTCCTAAGTTAATCTTTGTGTTAATAATTATAACAAACTGGTGGAGTAATTTCACATAAAAATAATTGAATATCAATTCAATAAAAATTTAAATATAGTGAATATCGAAATTTGTAGCCGGGACTTGTAGCTGTAAAGGTATCTAATTGGGTGACGAAATATTTTCAAAGATATCTAAGATAGACGGCACTACAGCTAAAAAGTCGCTGAAAAACCAAATACAAAGATACGACAACAAGCACATAGAGAAATTCATGGGGTCCGCTGGTTCGTTCCGTTGCCTAGTTCGCATAGCATCTGACACGGTTTGCTAAAAGACGTCGGTTCAAATCCCGCCGGATCGAAGTTTTTTTTTTCTAAGTGTTCGAACTTTGTATTAATAATTATAACAAACTAGTGGAGTACTTTCACATAAAAAAATAATTAAATATCAATTCAATAAAAATCAAACAAATTACTTTCTGTAAATCATACTAAAGTGTGACCCAACCACATTATACACGATCGCAGGTGCGATCGATTGATTTATACCCTACGAGATGACCGCTGCGTGCCCAGCACAAGCAAGCACAAGCGCAGGTCGACGCAAGATAATTTTCAATTGCCACCATGGATTGTAATACAAGTTGCAGACATAATTTTCAAAATATTTTTTGTATGGTATTCAAGTGACGGAATGAACAAATCGTGTGCCGAGTAGTAAGTGGCACACCTATCCATATGAGTTGTACTGCCACTCAAAGCTTTAAATCACAAAGATCTGGGGAGCACTGCCACTACGCCCATCACTCTAGAGACATAATTGACAAGTCCTGTCATGTGTCTATAATTTCACCAGCACCCATACGCTTCAAAACCGAACGCAGTAATTGCTCACATTACTGCTTGGCAACAGAAAGAGGTAAGATTGGATGAAATTTTTCACAAGCAGTTATACTGGTTCCAAAATTATTCCGGTCTTGCAATTCATGTACAAACTTAGATCACAGAAAACGACAGAGTTCCTAAGTCGCCATCAACTATAGTACCTCGCTAGCTTCAATATGTTTGTTTTTTAAATAATGCGCCAAAGAACCACACCAATTACATGGTCTCAAATCAATTCCCTGTACTATGAGTACCAGATCGAATTTACTCTTCGAGACACTTCCCAGTACATCCAGAAATCAAAATCAATTTAGATAAGTTAATTTCCCAAATTAGTCTCTTCTATCCAGCGTACATCATTCAAAGTTTTGGGCCACTGAGGCACACACACAATAATAATAATAATGCACACACTCAACGCCCCGCACTAGGGAAACTCTGTGTCGCGGGTGCCATGGACACACACATAGACAACCATAAATTACACCCAAACTCAAGAGATAAATAAATGTAGGCCATACAACTATTTCTCTCGGCCCGGGAATCGAACCTGGGACCTCTGCGTGGCAGTCCGGCATGGTAACCGTTCGGCCGCAGAGGTCGTCATATTGTAAAAACTCATGATGTCCTACTTTAGGCATATCAATTTATTATGACTACAACATTTAGATATTATACAACTTTATTATTATTTTCTTTGAAACTCATGGAAACTGTGAAATCGCATTGCATATGCCATTTGACAGTTTGAAGAGCTATCTAAAAATGCTTAACATCGTTGCAAGCACGTGTTTAGTAAATCACTCATTTTCAAGATTATCCGGGCCATCAGTGTCGGGGAAAGTAAATAGCCGGTCTTCGATTACACGAACACTTCTAATTGCCCTATAGTTATGTTACATAGAAATACACGAGACTCGCGAATCAACATGTATAGCTAAATGCTTGCTTAACTCTATAGCTTACTGAGGGGTGACGTCACGTCTTAGAATATATCCTTCAGCCTTGCAGTTTGTCTCTATTTTATGATATTTGAAATTAATATACTGTACTAATAAATGTTTGTTTACAAAGAGTAACCCCTTGAGTTCTCACTCGCTCTTCTCAGGGGAATCTGTATTACGAATCAGTAGTAGAGTTTAATTCAACGTAACGATTTCAAGCGTAGTTTGCTTACGTATGAAATAAAGGCTATTTGATTGTGAGTATAAAATATTCCGTCATATATAATATATAATATTTCCACAGCAAACAAATATTTAGTCAATGTAACTGAAAAGGCGATGACAACATGTATTTTAAATTTTTTTAAGCAGTACCTACCTATCCTAGAGTACGTGAAATACCTTTTTAAAACTAAATTATCAAAACACTTCATAACTTAATTCCCACGATCGTTTTCAGACAAGCTCATTACCCAAACATGTTCAATGGATATTAAATTACAGCATAAAGTGATAAATCCACCGATTACATTCATTGTAAACCAACCTACAATTGTGGTTACTGACTCATACTTTCAATATCCGTGAAGTCAATAAACCGCTTTCAGATTTGTTATACTTGAACGTTTCACCTAGTCAAAAGTAATTACCGCGAGTTTTCGACATTTACGACGCTAAGGAATTCTGGCATTCAAAGTAAAGACTCTTATGGCGATCGCCCTGATTCTATTTACACTACCATTTGGAACACAGGAGTGCTGCTTTGCAGGAGAAATAGGTAATGATGGCACTTAATCAGGTGGGTTTTGCATGGAAATCACTACCATCATTATAATTCCAATAGAGTTATTGTGATGTGACATGGGCCTATAATTATGTTTCTTATATGTCCTTGTTACGAAGCCCGCAGAAGAGAGCTTTACAATTGACGTCGAAATCGTTAAAGATAGCAATGCGAAGTCTCGAGTTCACTTCTGCGTGTAGATTCGACAAAGAAAATTATTGGCAAAGACTTCAAAGCTAGTACGTAGATATCGTTGATTATAGGATTGTAATAGCCAACTTCATGCATTCCCAAAAAAGAAACTACTTGTTTATTCAAATAAAAAACATTGAGCATTGTCCTCAACTTTCGCGACTACGCCCAGAACAAGTCAGAGCAAACAGCGCGTGCTGTATAAATTATCCTAGGGCCAATTTGTGCATAATTAGTTTGGACAAATGAGCACGTTCTGAGACATACTGTCTGCTAGATTGTGGACAGTACTCGACTGTTATGATAACGTACGTTTTTAGTAGCTATGTTAGCTACGTTTTGTTGTACAGGCATCTGTTGTTGGCTTAAGATATTCATGATGTTTTGTGTCAGTACCAGCGCTGAGAAAGAAGGTCAGGAAAATAATCATAATATTAATACGATATACGGTAACAAAAGTACCTAGCAAATGAAATACTAATACAAAAGTAGTGGAGTGTTTATAGTTTTTCAATCTCGACCTTAAACCTTTGAAGTAGGGGAGAGGTGTGTCAATTGTAACAGAAAAACAAATCTTAATAATATTTTAATTAGCAAACACAGCGCAATAATTTTTGGTCACAATCATTTTAAGTTATTTAATAATAAAATCATATAAATAAAATAACATAAAATGTTTGATAAATGA